TGGAATCAGGAGATCTCAATATCCCATTTGTCCCTGCTTATTCAGATGTTAAATAAAAATAATTGATGTACAACAATAACAAAGTTATAATTTGGTCTTGTAAAGTTTAAAATGATTTTAAGCATATTATTAAATATTCTAAGGGCTTCTTGGAATGGGGTTTAGCCTAATGGTAAGGTATTTTTCGAGTATGTACTCAAACCTGAGCTAGAATTCCAGTTATGTGTGTGTGTGTGTGTGTGTGTGTGTGTGTGTGTGTGTGCATATCACTCCCTTCTCTGTCTGTCTGTGTCTCCTTAGGGCTCCCCCTCTAAATATTTGTGCCATCTAGCTATACTTACCCAGATGAGTTCACATGACCCTCATGCAAAAGAACTTATTTTTTCATGAAAAGAACAAAGAAAAAGAAAAATGTCCATGTCAGGACTCCAAGGCATGAGATGTGACTCAGCAGCCGAACTCTGTGATCCAAGTGTAACTGTCCTGGCTCAGTGTGATTAGCCTGTGATTCCCAGAGCAACAGGCTGAAGCTGAAGGTCTTGTGGGTGAAGCCCTGCTCATGCTTCAGAGCTGCATGGTGATACCCAGAACTTTTCTGACTAGATCTTCACTCTGTTGGTACATGGAAAGAAGCTGAACTTATTGTAGTGCAGAGGCTTCATATTGTTTTATTTCTCAAAGAAAAAAAAAGTGTGATTTCATCAAGGAAGAGAAGAAATAGAGACACGTTGTCTATAGTATTTCTCACTGAGAAGAATTTGGGAGGAGTGGCCAGCTCACTCAACTCTGGATATCTGAAAGGGACTTTGGGACAGATTAAGCATCTAAAGAACGCGGCAAGGTATTTAAGTATTTATTCAGCTTTACAGAATGATTCACGTGGGCTTCCTTTTGTTTGAAGCAGCACTGGCATATCCTAAACTTACACCCATTAGGATTTGACTTCTCCTATAGGATACGGCTAAGAGAAAGGTATCCACACCACTAAATGCTCACATTTGCCTAGCTTTGTTCTATTAATGTATCTAACCCTCATAGAATGGGTTCAGGATCCAGAATCGGTTCTGGATCCAAGTTGAAATGGAGGGAATGAAAAGGAAAGTTAGTACTTTCCTTTCCCATCTAGATGGTGGCGGGGGGGGGGGGAGTGTACACTATGGAATATCTACTGCTAAACCAAAATGATCACAACCTAATTGTTTAAAACTATAAACATTGTGTAACATTTGCTTTGGACAAGGACATGGTTTACTGAGGCCTATAAAGTCTCCTAGGAGGCTATAATTCATGGTGCTGTCTGGAGTCAGGGTTTCATCTGAAGCTCAACTGGAAAAAGATTGTCTTCCATGTTCATGTAGAAGGTCACTGGCAGCATTCAGCTCTTTGGGGGAAAAAAATGAGAGAAAATTCCTAGATGACTTGCCTAGGAGATACTCTATATTACATACCACGTAGGCTTCTCACCAGGACAACTTGTTTCTTAAAAGTCACAAGGGTGAAAATGTCTAAGTCACAATCTTTTAAATCTTTTACAAATCCTATTTGATGAAATTACAATGTGCAAATTACAGGGTCTACAAAAGAGGTTACACAAATATATAGTGACAAGGAGGAATGGGTCACAGCAGTCATACAGAGGGGCTATCCCAAGAGACTGAGGGCTAACAAACAACTCAGCCATTCAGCAGAAAAAAATCCGTTTTGGAGGAAAGTGACTTATCAGTTCTAATAGTTTAAGAACCGATGCTATTCTTATTAGAAATAAGTATAAACTTCTATTATATCATCTTTGAATGACTCGCTAAAAAAATGCAGCTTTGTTGTGATGGCTGATTCCCTCCCAGGCCAAGCCATGCACACATGGGGTTTTTGAAAATTCAAAAACATCATATGGTCTTCATGTAACTAGCTGCATTTTCAGAAGCTTTAATAATAAGAATAAAATCAGAAGCTATGAAGCTACTATTTTTTTCTACTGCCATGTGCATGAGAAGTTGACTCAAACAACTCTGTGTGCTCCTCTGCTGCCAACAGCTCCCTTTGAATCCACTTGTTACACTATGGCATTAGCTGGTGGTATCTGCCTTTGTTACCACTCTGAAAGAGTACAATAGGGCTGAAAATTGAATTAATTTATGCATTGTTAAAATTGGTTTCTTCTAACAATTTAATGTATATTTGTTTCTGAATGAAAAATTAAATACCATCTCCCTACCAAGCACTATTAGTGCAATGTTACGCAGGCAGTTTTGGACAGATGAAAAAAAAAAAAAAAAGAATGACTTTATCATTCCTCCCTGAGTCTTCCTGTTTATATCTTCACCCCCAGATATGAGTACCATCAAATGCTAGTCACCTGAAATGCAACACTTTGCAAGTTTAGGTTAGGGTAGGGTGGGGGGGCAGAATAATTAATTTATTGAGTGAATATTCTGTATGCTAGGCACTGTATTGGTAAACATAATCTTATTAACTCAAAACACATGTTATTTTTACAATATGGTTTAAGAAGTCTGTAGTACATATGGACAAAACCTGGATATTCTATTCTCCAGCATTTCAGATGGACTCAAACTCCTTCCATTACTTGTTTAAAACTACAAGGTTGACCTAAGGCTATAAAATTTGTCCTTGGAAGGTTTCTTCTAAATTACAATTTGACACTATCGTATCCTCTGCATTTCAAATAAATGTGTATTGGACATATAAGTACAGCTCTTAAATATTAGATGCTGGGCATTTGGTGATTCAAATTGGCTTGTGAAGAAAGGCATTTCCTACCACAGTCCCAGTCGGTAATTCTGATTGTCTCATGGCTTCACAGCTGCAAATCTGCCCTTACCACTGACATTTGTCTCTGCCCAATGATGCTTTCCTTAGCACATGACTAAAACGTTAGTCTTGACCTTTCAATTGTTTTGGCCCTAGGCTACCCAAATTCAGGATGATGGTCTAACTGGGCAAGGAAATCTGTTTAAATTTTGATGCTATTAGCCTTGGTACTGAACAAATGGCCAACCTAGTTTTCTCTAAAAATGTCTATCTCTTATAATCCAGGCGTGTGTGCTGGTGTTAATGACTGTAGCTAGCTTTTGCGTATGTATGTGGAGCCAAGAGTGACATTCTTCAGGAACTACCTACTAATCTTTTGAAAAAGGGTGTTTTATTTAGACTAGATAGGGCTGTATCCCCACCCCTGGAATGAAATATGCATCACCACACGTGGCTTTTCACATAGATGCTGGGGATGAAACTGAGGTTCTGCTTGCGCAACAAACACTGTACCAACTGAGTTATCTTCCCTGTCCCCTAGTTTTTGTTTTTGTCTCATAACACCATGAGACTGACGGGGGTGGGGGGGGGTATGTACTTTCCCTTCGTTGATGTGAGTGTAATTTAAGAACAGGGAGAGAGGCTCTTCTCTTTAAAGAGAGTAGATAGGTCAAACCTGCTACTGCTTATTTAGCTTATTATTTTAAATTGCCAAAGTACCTGTTGCTTCCCTGGGTGGCTAAGCCACATAAACGGTAGCTTTGCTCCACAAGTCTAGACCAAGTTCCACATATAATTCTGAGGAGATATTTGAAGAAATTCAATTCCTGGTAGTCTCTGGTTACCACTTATGGAAGGGTAGGGGGTTTTGGCTTGCATTGACTCCTGCCCAGCTTGAGGTGGGAGAAGGTGACCTGACGTAGAGTCAGCGAGGTAATTTAAAAAAGCAGAAAGCCCCAAAGCAAATCAATATAGTCATTTAATTGTGGGATGCTGAAGCTTCAGAGAGCTTCTGAAATAACCTGCTGCAGCCCCCTTATTTTGTAGAAGGGATGAGATGGAATTTTGTGTGCCTCAATCATGATCATGCACAGAGTGAAAACTTGCCTGCTTCGTTCTTACTCTGGTTCTCACACTTTGGGCTGAGGGCAAGAGCCTGCTTCTACAACCAAATCAGACAAAAAAAAAAAAAAAAAAAAAAAAAACACCCAAAAACTCCACACTAACCAACCAAAACCAGATTAATACACAATTTCCTATGTACTCTCACATATACGTACTGATTTCAAAAATCCAAATTTCTTCATTAAAACAATACAAAATCCGGGCCTTTACAGTATGATTAGTCTTAAGTTCTCCAGGGCTTCGTGTTGTTATTTGAATGTTCTCGCCTTTAAGGTGAAAAAGTCTTAAGAGTCAGGAAGGTGAATCCTGTGAGCCATCATTTCCAACAACAGGGAGGAAGGGGGTTAAAAATACAGTCATCAGAGGGACCACACAATGGGGTTTTGTCACCTCTGCCCCGCCCCACCGCCAGCCACAGTCCCATTTTCTTCCAGGATGGTTTTGCGATGGGAGAGGGCAAGAGGCCTTCAGACCGGGTGGGCGTCGGTAACATCACCGTCCCTCAGCTTCACACCCGGCCTGGCGGTAGTAACGGGACGCCTACGCGCGCCGCGTGTAGCGTCCAGTGACAACGCTTTTGTCCTAAGGTGTTTCCCAAAAGCCGCGGCGCGCCCTCTGGAGGCCGCCCTCCGCGGGCTGACGGGCAGCCGAGCCCTGACAAGGGGAAACGGGTCAAAGCGCCGAGCGGTCTCCGAGTCACAGGGCTCGGGCACGTGAGGTGGTGGCTGTCACCACAGACAACCGGAGCTGGCCTATTTCCCGCGAGGGCGAGCAAGGAGGACGGGTTGCCCTCCTCGGGCCCGCGTCGTCCACAGCGCCTGTCACAGCGGCTCGGGCATTCCTTCCACAAAATGAGAGGTTCGACGGACGAAGCGGGCTGGGGACACAGTGCGAGCTTTGCGAGAGCACCTTAGAGACAGGTTGGGACGTGCCCTACAGGAGGCTCCGCCGCGCGTTCTCCGGGTCCGGACTCTCCCGGTCGCGGACCTAGCAGAGGGCAGCGTGCGCGTCCCCGCCGCTGTGCGTGCGCGTCCCCGCCTGTCCCGCTGCTGGCCTCGGGAGGGGGCGGGGCGGGGCGCGGCAGGGTGGGGCGGGGCGCGCGAGGAGGGCGGTGGCAGTTGGTCGCCCCGGAGAATAGGCGGCGGTCGAGCCGGGGCCGAGGCGCTGAGGAGTGGCTCGGGCCGGGCTCCGTGCGTAGTTCGGTGCGGAGACGGTGCGGGAGCCGCCGGGCGCGACGGCCAGGGCAGCCGGGGTCGGTCTGAGCGGCGCTCGTGCCGCAGGCGCGCGCGGGCCGGTGAGTGTGGCGAGGCCGCCGGGGGGCTGGCGCGGGACGCGGGCGGCGGGGCTGCGGCCGGGGCTGCGCCGGCCAAGGGGGCGGCGGGCCCGATGGAGTCGGCGTGGCTCGGCGGCTCCTGTCCTGCTCGCGGGGGCCGCGGGCCGCGCCCGGCCGCCTGTGTGGCCTGCCCTCCAGGCGCCCGGCAAATGGCGCCCCGACCACCCGGGGCGCCAACTCACCCGCGTGTGCGCGGAGGAGCCCAGGGGACCCCCGGCGACCCCGGAAAGCGAGGTTCGCACTGTGTGCCTTGTAGGAACTTGGGCGCAAACGGGTTAAAGGACTGCGAGGCATCTCCAACTGTCTCGGCGGGACGAGCGAGAAGTTGGTAACTTTTCCATTCATGGAAGTGAGAGGCGCGGAGGCTTAGCCTTGGCCTCTGTTAAAGGGAAACTTGGGAATCACCCCCAAATTTGTGGGTCCAGATCGCGGATTCCCAGATTGCAAGCGGGACATGGAACGCACGGTGGACTCAGAATCACCCGGGAATACATTTTAACCACGATGGCGTCCTGTGTTTACCGTGGTTCTTTCTTCCGCTCCCCTCTCCCTCTATTGAGCCCTCTGTTAAATCCCGGATAAAAGATGCTTGGGAAGGAATTGACCTTTTCTTCCATGATTGCTTTGTTGACTGTGATCCAAGATGAAGTTATTTATGGGCATTTTGGTATCAGTGAGGGTTAACTTTCTTTAAAACGAAGTCTCAAAAAGTTTTCGAATGTTTTATTTGTTCCCTGCTAAATTTCAGACATAGTAAGTGACATTAACATGTTTTGCACGTTTTTACATTAAAGCTTTCCAAAACAGTCGTATGTTTACTGGCAAAAGGAAAAAGAATAGCATGAATTATTCCTGTTTAAGTTTTCTAAAGCATGTAATCCATATACAGTTACGTTGAATCACTGTTCTTTATGCTTAGTCACTGTTTCTTGCTGTGGAAGTTTAGTTGGGGACAACACGATCTTTTCCTAAGATGGCCAGTTTGTACTTGATACGTAACATAATGACAGAAGCTTTTGTATGAGTATGTGATTCTACAAGTAGTAGGTGTTTTATGAATGTTTTAAGAAACTGAAGTTTACCTGTGTATCTATCCCATGTGTTTAATTTCAATCCAGTGTTTCAGAATGTTTAGATTTAGGTTTGGGTTTTTCTTGGGGGGAGGTTATATTTTTTGTTTGTTTTAAAATACAAATATTTAAATACAATATACTTTAAAAAGTAATGTTGCATAAAATAATTGTTATCCCTTCGTGTATGGTTGGAGAGGTGCTTTAAGGTCACCCAAACAGGCTTTAGTTAATGTGTTTATTATTTGATATAGCATGCTTCTAAAATGTGACTGTTGGATAATCTTTTAATTAAGTTCCTAAGATTGCTGTTTATTTTTATAAAAGGAATTATTCTTTCTGGGCATTTTCTTAAAGAATATCATTAAATTTCATTTTGTGATGAGATAGGTGAGATTCAACTTAAAGTAGTTGCTTGTGTATTGTGCATACTAATAGGAAAAGTGTTTGAATTAAAACACTTTTTTTTAATCAAAAAGGTGTCTCCCCCCCCCCCCAAGAATGGTTAATGTTAGCAAAGTAGAGTTGTTCCTCATATAACTGCATTTAGTAAGATCTATAAATTTAAGTAATATTTAAAAGTAGTTGTGTATAAATCTGGCTGTTGTGTAGAGCAGAGTATGTTTATTTGGGACTCTCTACATTTATAAAATGTTGGACACAGAAATAACTAATCAGCCTTTCAGAAATTCTGTATTGTTTTCAAAGTAGAATAATTGCCTCAAGGTCAAAAGCTGAGGCTCCATAAATCCCACTCCCTCTTGCCATCTTAGACTGAGGCCTGCCACTTAAGTAGACCCATTTTTACTGTGTATTAATTTAAATAGGTTCTTGTACTAACATTTTAATTTCTGATCTAAGTCTATGATTATTTCATTTGTTTCTTTAGTGGAGAAAATTGTGAGCAGTTACAACTTTTACTTTAAAATTCTTAACCATGACCAGCTTTAGAAATGACAGATATATGTTTTATTATATTACATTTGGAGTGATACAAACATGAAAGTAAATTTCCATATCATTAGTTCATTTTTCTATAAAGCCAGAAGCAATGTTTAATAAAGTAATTAGAAAGTATAACTCATTTAGCCGTTTGCTCTCGTTAGTCTCTTTGTCAACTTGACAAAGCCTAGAGTGATCTGGGAGAAGAAGCCATAATTGAGGAATTCCCTATATCACTCTGGCCTGTGAGGATGTCAGTGCTGGATTTTCTTTTTTTGATGTAGGAGGGCTCAAGCCTCTGTGGGTAGCACCATTCCTAGGCAGATGGTCCTGGACTATGTAGAAGAAAGCTGGCTTGAGTATCAGACAGTGAGCAAGCCAAAAAGCAGCATTCACCATGGTTTCTGCTTGAGTTCTACCTTGACTTCCCTGGATAAGCAGACCTGGAAGTTTTAGCTGAAACAAACCTTTTCCTCCCTGTAGTTACTTTTGAGCCAGGAGTGTTATGTGTTACCACAGCAGTATAATGAAACTAAAACAGTATTGGATTGGGGATAAGTACCATTAGTTGGTAATTTAGTGACTCTTAATTTTCTTCATGTTATTGTGCTCAAAACAGAACCCAAGCCTTTGCATATTCTAGGCAAGTCCTCTACTGCTGACCTCCCTATCTGGCACCTCCACCACCCTTTAAAAGCAGATAAATGACTGAGGTCTAGATTTGTTAACCTCAAAACTAAATGTACCTATTTGATTAGAGGGTCATCAGGTGTTTCTGTTTACTACATGCTAGTACCTCTGATTAAATAAAAGATAAGACACTTATAACTGATTGCTAAATATTTGGTTTTTGTTACGACTTACCATAATTAATTAAACAAGACTAGTTTCACATCAGCCTTACATTAGAACATGTTTAGTAGAATTGTTTCCTCTAATGATGTAAAAAATTAATACTAAGCAAGGCAAGGCTAATGTTGCTTCAAATTTTGAGCTGGTTTTCCTTTGTGCCCTGCTCAGGTACTTGTACATGTACAGGCATCAACCATTATCTTTCTTTTTAACCCTAGTACTTCTCTATATGTTCATTTTTCTAAGTTTTTAAGATCGAAATTGAAGTTACCTTTCCCATGATTTGCTTTTATTAAAAGTTAGTATCTTCATATAAGATGCCTGGGATATAGTAGCTAAGTGCTTAGTGTTTGAGCACCATCTTAACCCTTTATGTATGTAGTGAATTTTGAGAAATAGTTGAGGGCACTGTCTCTGTGCCTTAAATGACACACTTGTTTCATTGTATGGGAAGATGCCATGTCTTAAAACTATTTTTAAGGATTGCTCGTCAGCCACCTGAGTATGAATTGGCAACCAACTTCTGTTAGAGAAAACAGACTATTGTAAAACATTCTATTATTTACAAATAATTGTTATTCTCATGAAACTTTTCCAATAATTGTTCTTTTAAGTGTAGCTTAGTAAAAATTGATTTTGGCATGTTTAAAAACACTATTGAATTTAATGACGCCATCATTTTAACAACATATTTTTTACTAGGCCTGCTATGTCACTGTTCAACTGATAAATTAAGTATTGACGTTTTAAAACCTGTTGCACAGGATTCATGAGCAATTTCAAATAGCTTATGAAGGCATTTTAAATTTTATAATAGTGATCTTGATTAGAAAAAGTGAATCTGGAAGAGTTTTAAAGTTTGAAACAAGTCTCTCTCTTCAGAAAGGGCTATTGTTATGTTTTATTATTTCCTTGGGTATTTAACTATAAAATGGACTTGTCCTAAATTCCTGCTTTGTATAGATATGTTGCGAATGGTTAAATTCATACTATTTCATATGTTCATATTTAAAACATATGGCCAAAGCAAAGTAATGTGCTTTAGTAATTATAAAGAACTAAATGAGTTTTAAACAGGGTTTGTAAGTGTTAGAATAAACAAGTAAAATTGTGTAATCTTCATTCTCTAATAACATCTTAAAATTAATCACCAGTTGGTCAAGAGCTACCTCATGTTGTTAAATTTTTGTAAGTAAACATGTCTGCTGTTCTGCATAAATATTGATCAGATGTACATTAAGTCCCCACCTCTGTTATATTAATAGATGACTTTGGGCTTTAAGGCACTCACTGCTTCTGAATACTATTTCTCTCTGAGTTGTAAGTAACTGACTTGGTATTGGTTAAGAAGGATAAAATAGGAATATAACTGATATTGCCCCCTTTCTAAAAATACTATAACTGTGTTGCTGTGGCTGCATTTTAAAAAACACTTTTATTGAGAGGGGAGTATTGTAGAAGAGGCTACTTATTTTGAAACTGGAGAGCCTTCTACATCTACCTTTGCAAGTTTTTACTGTTTTTACATGTGAGTCAGAACTACAGGGGTTATTATTTTAAGGCTTTGAATTAAGTGATATTAAAATGTGCTCTCCCTGTTGTGATTGTGTGATGGTGTGGACAGTAACATGTATCTCTACCACACCAAGTTGTAAAAGCAGTGGTCACTGTTGAAACTGCTCGTTTTTAGGTTTCTCTCTTTGCAACAGTCAAGCTTAATCTCTAGCATGTGAGATGAACTCAGCCTTGTTGCAAAATAAGCTACAGTTGTTTTCACAATCTAATCTTTCACTAAGGTTTGTCTTAATTCTTCTTAAACATTTTAATTGCTTCAGTTATAAACATTTGCCATAATTAATCTATCATTTTCTCTCTTAGTACTAGTTTCAATTTAGAGTAAATGCTTGCCTATAGAATTTGTGAGAAAATAGCCTTTAAAGTATTCAGCTCATTCTGTTATTTTAAAGCACAATTTACAAATTAATTGGTATTGAATATGTCATTGAACATCACAGTATGAAGAAGCCCACACTCAAGACCTTTCTTTCAATAAAGAAGAGCTCAGTTAATAACAGCTTGGTTTTATTATTCCTGTTTGAGGAATGAATATTAGTCTTCAACCAGAGAGAAAAGTTGTAACAATTTGTGGAGTGATTACCTACTTGAAACCTAGCTAGAATTTATTGAAATTCATGCCAGAGATGTAGCAGCCATATGCACTCAATGAAGAAAATAGGCTATGAATGCTTTTATTTAGAATATTATATACTACAGTGTAATTTAGATTGGAAAACCTTGAGTTGAATTGACTCTGCAATCTATAGGTAGAAATATATAATAGCTGTAGTATTCTGGAGTTTAGAAAATTTTTAGGCAGGACGTATAGATGAGTTTTCACCTTATAGATGGTAAATGAAAGTTGGAAAAACCTAGCACACCAGGAAGAATTCCTAGTGTGAACATGAAATCCTGAAGAAAAGTAATATTTAAGAAAAGATTATCTAGAGAGGTAGAAGGGAAATTGGTTAAGTGTGATAATAATATGGATGTAAGGAAAGAGGAGGAGTTAGTAATTCTAATGATACGGCAAAGGTGATAGAGGAAAGAATAAAAAGAGCCCTTTAGATAATACTTACAAAAGACAGACATTATTTAACTTTTCACCACTAATAGAAAAAAAGCAGTTGAAGATTTTTTGGGGGAAAAAAGTGCATTGAAAAAAATGCTCAGTTAAAATTAAATTGGCATATTTTGTTTGTTTTATTTTTGGTATAAACTTGGCTTGATGAAATGTTAAAATAATGAGTTTTAAGATATTTTATCTTTAATCCCTCTTATTTCATAGATACTGTTTCTCTACCCTTAAAATTATCTCTGACTTTCACTTATTAAAAGACTGAGTTCCATAGAATAGTACATAACAATCATGATTGGTCCAGTGCCCTTTTGGCCTTCTTTCTCACAACTTTCTTGGATTTCACCACAATCTATTAATATTAAGAAGATTAAACATGTTTTGTCAATTCATATGCTGTTACTTCAAAAATTACTGTCTCTTACAAGTTTACCCTGCCTACCCCTTACCTTTCTTCTCTGTGCTATTTTTCTTCTGTTGTATTAATCACATGATCTAGCTTTGTTTTCCACCTCCCTTGTAACTCCTTTAAGAGGAAGTACCAATTTACTAATCTGTATATTGCCAGAGGGAGCACAGTGCCCAGTGCCTAAGAGTCAGTAAGAAATTCATATTTAATAAAGTAGAGGAGAGCTGGCCCTTACATAAAGACAACAGCTGCAGAACTTGAGCTAAAGCTTTTATTTTCCTGTTAAAGTTACTGTATATTTTAGTTAAGTCTTTGATAATTTGTAAAATTTATCATGAATATGTAGAATAGGTCAGAAAAGTAGATAAACATGAATTCATATGTTTAGAAGGTGTAAAGAAACTAATAAAATTTTGACTAACTGTCATAGTGAAATGAAGACTGCAACATGATAAGGGTCTGCAAGGCAGCAACTCAAAATTGGGCTAATTCAAGTTGAAAAGCTAAAATCTATTCTTTGAAATTCAGGAGTTAACACTTTTATTAGAATTAATTTATGTAATACATATTGCTATATATTTAGTATTCTAAGTGCTTAAGTTTCTTTAAGATGTATTAATCATATTCTTATTAACTTAAATGTTTGTTTATACTTTATATATTTCATTCTCAAGAATAATCAGTGGTTTGATTATACAGTTTGGTCTAATGTCTTTACTTTTTTTGTATTTCAAAATCTAGAGCTGGACTAGCCATTATGGAAGAAGAGGTACAGCAGCACTCACACTGTGTGAATTGTGTCAGTAGAAGGTGTATGACCAGACCAGAGCCTGGAGTTTCCTGTGACTTGATTGGTTGTCCATTGGTTTGCGGAGCAGTTTTCCACTCTTGTAAAGTTGATGAGCATCGACTCTTGTGTCCCTTTGAACGAGTACCTTGCTTAAATAGTAACTTTGGATGTCCATTTATCCTGGCACGAAATAAAGTTGCTGAACATCTAGAAATGTGTCCTGCAAGTGTGGTATGCTGTACAATGGAATGGAACCGATGGCCTGTTAGTTACTCAGACCGGAAATCATATGAAAATCTAAGCAGAGATGTTGATGAAGTGGCACAGTTAGACATGGCTTTGGCTCTTCAAGATCAAAGAATGCTCTTGGAATCTCTGAAAGTATCCACCATGATGTCAAAAGCAACTGATAAAATTCCTGAGCCTAGAGAACAAATCTCAGTGAAATCAAATGTTCAGGAAATACCACGTCCTAATGGCTTGGTACCTGTCGATGAAGAGTCATACGGTGCACTTTATCAAGCTACTGTAGAAACAACCAGAAGTTTGGCAGCTGCTTTAGATATCCTGAATTCTGCCACAAGAGACATTGGCATGTTAAATACAAGTCTTCATGCTATCACAAATGAAATGGATGAGGAAGAGAGTAACAGAGAAAGCTTCCAGGACAGAAACTTAAAAGACCAGGACCACCTCCATGAAGATGAGATAGGGGCAGTAGGTGGAATTGACTATAATAGCACAAGTCAGAATACTCAGGCTGAACAAAATGGTTCAAGTGATTTACTCTGCAACTTAAATATAAGTTCTTATGGTACTTCTGCTCTTTGTAATGGCTTTCCTTTGGAAAGTATGTGTACACAGGTCAAAGAGCAGGATCAGAATTTTCATGGTTATTCCATAGAAAGTAACATAACAAATGGAGAATGTGCAGCAGCAGATGGTACTTCACAACCTTCTAGTTCACTTTTAAGAGCAGCACAACTTAGGGAAACAAGTCCTTTCAATGCCTTGCCAGATAGCACATTTCAGCATGTCCTTACGCCAGACGAAGATGGTGAGGAGGACTTGTGTTGGAAAAAGGTAGACTTAGGGGACCTGAAGGATGTTGATGGTTCACCTGTCAGTCATGTTCCTTCATTCAAGTTTCTTTCTAATTCATGGTATATACCAAAGGAAGACAAAGCAGTCGATACATCAGATTTAGAAGTTACAGAAGATCCCATGGGCCTCCAAGGAATAGATCTGATTACAGCAGCATTACTATTTTGTCTGGGAGATTCTCCAGGTGGGAGGGGTATATCTGATAGCCGTATGGTTGATGTTTATCACATTGATTTTGGGACACAGACTTTTTCACTTCCATCTGCAATACTAGCTACAAATACAATGGTTGGAGAAATAGCTTCAGCTTCAGCTTGTGATCATGCCAATCCACAACTTTCAAATCCAAGCCCTTTTCAGACACTTGGGCTGGATTTAGTTTTGGAATGTGTTGCTAGGTACCAGCCTAAGCAGCGTTCAATGTTTACCTTTGTGTGTGGACAGTTATTTAGAAGAAAAGAATTTTCTTCCCATTTTAAGAACGTGCATGGTGACATTCATGCTGGACTTAATGGATGGATGGAACAGAGGTGTCCTTTAGCTTACTATGGTTGTCCCTATTCTCAGCGTAGATTTTGTCCATCAACACAAGGAGCAAAGGTTATACATGACCGCCATTTAAGGTCATTTGGAGTTCAGCCATGTGTATCTATGTTGTTAGAAGAGCCTTCTAGAAACTGTGTGTTGGGATTACGTAGTGACCATCTAAGTGGTCTCCCTTTTGAGGTACTGCAACATATTGCAGCCTTTCTTGATGGCTTCAGTTTATGCCAGCTTGCATGTGTATCCAGGCTAATGAGGGATGTGTGTGGCAGTCTACTTCAATCTCGTGGAATGGTGATATTGCAGTGGGGGAAAAAGAAGTATCCAGAAGGAAATTCATCATGGCAGATAAAAGAAAAGGTTAGTTTAAATTTTAACTTATCAACCTCTTTCTTAACATAAAGTAGGCACTTATTAATTTCATATATATCAATAACTTTTTGCCACGGTGACCATATCCTGCACTATATTAAGTCAATATAATGACATATTTTAAAAGTGATAATAAAAGACTAAAGTCACTAGAATTCTTAGTCACAATCACTGGTATAGCATAGATTTTTTTAATTAAATTTTTATTTTTTTATATTACAGTTTATTCACTTTGTATCCCAGCTGTAGCCCCCTCTTTCCTCCCCTCCCAAATTCACCCTCTCTCGCTCATCTCCTCCTAAGCCACTCTCCAAGTCCACGGATAGAGGAGGTCCTCCTCCCCTTCCATCTGACCCTAGCTTATCCAGTCTTATCAGAACTGGATGCATTGTCCTCCTCTGTGGCTTGGCAAGGCTCCTTACCCATTAGGGGAAGAAGTCAAAGAGCTAGCCACTAAGTTCATGTCAGAGACAGTCCATGTTCTCCTTACTAGGAAACCCACTTGGATACTGAGCTGCCATGGGCTATATCTGAGCAGGGGTTCTAGGTTATATCTATAAATGGTCCTTGGTTGCAGTATCAGTGGTTCCCTCCCTCCTCCCATCTCAATCCCTCCCTTCCTCCACCCTCTGCATGCATGCCTCTCCCCAAGTCCACTGATAGGAGAGGTCTTCTTTTCCTTCCTTCTGATCCTAGTCAATTAGGTCCATCAGGAGTGCCTGCATTGTCTTCTTCTGTGGCCTGGTAATGCTGCTCCCCCATCAGGGGGAGGTAATTATAGAGCAGGCCAATCAGTTCATGTCAGAGACAGTCCCTGTTCCTATTACTATGGAACCCACTTAGACACTGAACTGCTATGTGTACCCCATTATTAAATTGGATTACTTGATTTGTTGCTTTTTAACTTCTTTAGTTCTTCATATATTCTGGATATTAGCTCTCTGTCAGATATGGGGTTGGTGAAGATCCTTTCCCAGTCTTGTTTTCTCATTTTGTTCTGATGACAGTGTCCTTTGCTTTACAGAAGCTTTTCAGTTTCATGAGGTCTCATTTATTGATAGCATAGATTTTTTTTTTTTTTTTTTTTTGGATCTAAATTCTGTTCTAATGTTTCTGTGTCTTCAGGTGACTAGTTTTCTTCAGTTCCTCTTGTACATCTTTGTGACCATTTTACTACTTGTTATCTTCTAATTTTGGCTAAAACATTTTTATCATAAGAGAGTTGATGAATCTAGGAGAGGATTTTCTTTGGCCTTTAGCTGTCTCTGTTTTTATTAGTGTCTTTTTCAGGAGGAGAAAAAAAAATAACTGTTACTACGGTCTTCCTGATAAGTGACCAACAAAACTACTTGGGTGATGCTGAAGTGAGATGAATAAGTTAGAGAGTTTGTTATTCTATATGGGCACACTGGATTCACTGCAAAGGGGGGATGCATATTATTTTGAAAATTGATAAGAATATTTGGTCAGACCTAAATTTTAACTACACTCTGCTTTTGCCATCTTCCATTTGAGTCACTATTCAAGACATCACAGGATATCTGTGACTAAAGACCCATAATATGAATCTTTACGTAACAACTTGCACAAACTGAGTATTTGTCTGCACATCATTCAGATTCATGAAACTTTATTCTTGTTACTTAGATTTTTTAAAAAAGAATTGGTATTTGCTTCTCTGTTTTCTTGAGACTTTGACCATTTTTTTTCCCCATCAGGGAGTTCTGATGACATAGTTTTTCAGCTGGGTATATATGAGTATTTTAATTTTTCAAGATGATTAGATGTATTTCTGTCCTTAGGAATAAGATACTGTAATTGCTTTTGTCCTTAGTCATTAGTATGTATATATGGAATGAAATATTTCCTGGTAAATTTTTACAGAGACATAGTCTTGAGATTAAATTGCTATCATTTATACAGATTCCATATCAGTAGGCCCCTATTTTCTCTGTTGAGCCTAAACCACAATATACAAGCATCTACTGAAAATTTCTGCTTGATTATCCCATAGCTTCCTCAAACTCAACATGTCCAGCTTACCTGCCCCTCTATTCACTTAATTTCAGGAAGTAGCGTCTTTGTTTACTAAACTGCCTAAATCGGGGATTTGGAAGTTAGGGTTGAATCTCTTCCCAAATTCTAGTTGATTGGTCCTTTTTCAGAACTCTCAGATTTGCCTCACCATTTCACCTTTGATTCTTTTAAATATATTTATTATAGTTAATGAAGTGCTTAAGACTTAATATTCACCTACTGCTCATGGGTAAAAGTCAGCCCCTTAAACAAACATTTTAAATGTCTCATAATCACATCCTTACCTCTTCAGTTTCTTCCTGTGACTTCCATACTATAGTTACATTGATTTATGTTTTTGATGTTTTTTTTCTAGCCTTAGAGCTAATGAATATGTTTCCCAAATATCCAATACTTAAATACCTGGAATGTGCTAGTTAGTAGGCCTTTTTACATTACTTTCATTAACCCATTACTGTCTACATTTTACAAAAGAAGCAGTAACTTGTCAAATACTTATTTATTGTGGTACCAGGTGTTGAACCTAGAGGTTCCCTTGTGCTATACAAATACACTTAGTTATTCCCAGCCCTCTTTTTCCTTTTTCCTTAATGGAGAATTGCACTAAATAAACAAGGCTAGCTTTGAATTCACTCAGTAGTCTAGACAGGACTTGAATTTGTAATTCTCCTGCTTCATCCCATGTGTAGTTGGGATTACAGGCCTGTGCCCCCAGGCGTGGCAATGGTGATGGTTGCTATTGTCAGCTATTCTGTTTCCACAGAATTTTAAGAGATTTGGATACTTTCAAAGTCATTATTGCCCTCCTTTCTTGAGAAATTATCAGGAATGCTGCCCTTACCCCAGTATTGCTACTTTCTAAAGCATCTACTGTTTATCATGTGGAGCTGGCCTTCTGTCTTTGTAGCTGCCCTGTCATATAGATTAAACCAACTGCAGATAAAAAAATGTTTAGGAAGAAAAATGTACTGAACATGCATCGACTTTTCTTGTCATTATTTCCTAAACAATGTAAGTGCACAACACTTACGTTGTATCAGGTGTTATAAATAACCTAGAGATGATTTAAAGTTTATGGGAAGAAATGGATACACCATTTTATATAAGGGACTTGAACATCACAGATTTTTGGTGTTTGTGAAGGTCCCAGAACCAACCCCTGTGGGTACCAAAGTAATATATTCAGAGTTGTTTAATTAATTAGACAATTGTCTACACTAGAATGTTTCAGCCACGTCTGCTTCAAACATCCTTTTTATGTTCTTCTCCACTATTCTGTAGTCATGTTTATCGCTTATCTTCAGAAGTGTTATGTATAAAAATGAGGAGAGGCCACAGCATGGTTGAACCAATAAGATTTTACAATAATAGCTTTAAAAAGGATTTTACTGTTTTGAGACAGGGCTTGTTAGGATCCTTCTTCCTCATTCTCCTGAGTTTGAGGGTGACAGGTTTAAGCCACCATGTCTGTCTACAAAAAATGAATTTCCATTCAGTTACATTTTGAACCAATTGAAGTACCTATTATGTTTTGATTATTGTTCAATACTGTCACTGCTGATAAATTGTGAAAAGAAAAGCTACTTTACTACATGATAGTCTAAAACAGTGGTTCTAAACCTTTCCTATGCTACTACACTTTAATGTAGTTCCTCATCCTGTGGTGACCGCAAACCATAAAATTATTTTTGTTGCTACTTTGTGAATCATAATGTAAATATCTGTGTTTTCTGATGATCTTAGGTAATCCCTGTGAAAATGTCATTTGATCCTAAAGGGGTTGCCACCCATGAAAACCATTGTTCTAAGGCATTTTTATTCTACTTTATAGAGTAAAAGGAATGGAAGAAAAACCTAGAGAGGAAAAAAAAAAGATATTTGGATAATCACAATCTCTAGATTAGTAGTTATATATAGCCAATTGGATAGCAAAAATAATAGTGTACATTATATGGTATTTTATGAAGTCACTGAATTTATAAAGTGATGACTTTTTAAAAAAATTATTCAGTACATCAGGTTTATTTTTAATGTTGAATTTTATTCTTTTGGTTGAACTAACAACATTTTACAAATGTTTGAAAAGTATGAATAATAATGGATTTACTCTTTTTTAATTTTGAAGCTATTTCAAATGTTATATTTTATATTTCTCTAGCAATAGAAAAGAATTACATGCAGCTAAAGCAGAGCAAAAAGGGCATTCTGATTTTCTGTATGAATTATTTAAATCTGAAATAGAATTTTTTTCTATCTAGGTATGGCGATTCAGCACTGCCTTTTGTTCTGTTAATGAATGGAAGTTTGCTGACATCCTAAGCATGGCTGACCACTTGAAGAAATGCAGTTACAATGTTATAGAGAAACGGGAGGAAGCTATCCCACTGCCCTGTATGTGCGTGACTCGAGAACTTACTAAAGAAGGACGCTCCCTGCGCTCAGTTTTAAAACCCGTACTTTAAACTGTAACTTTACTTGCATATACATGCAAGCACCTGGTATGAGTTCTTTGTAATATGTAACTTTATTAATGTATTAAAGACTACAACTAGTTAATTTTTTTGTCGCTATGTATATACTGTTTTGGAGTGACATATTTTTGTAATGTACTATTAGTTGGAAAAAAGTTGCCTTAATATTTGAAATGTGTGAAATTTTTGGAACTTCCTAGACAGGGTGATCTAATCTTTATCTGCATAATTTTCAAAATTAGTATTTTTAATGGTGTGCACATTTAAGTTCTGAAATTTTTGTTTTTCAAACTAAATGGTCTTGACCAAAAGATTAATTCTTTGTTTTTTTTTTTTTTTTTTTTTTTTTTTTTTTAATGGGTGGACGCCCATGTTGTCAAAAAGCAAAACTTTGATTCACATTTTTGCTGCATAGATTTTTCACATACCACTTTCAAGTAACAGTGCTATAAGGTTGTTATCAAGTTTTTCTGGTACTTTCCTTTTATAATTATTGATCATGGGTGGTATCCAGTACTAATACAAAGGTACAATAATGACTTCATGTTTTTAAAACAACTCACAAAGATATCTTTATCTTCTAGTCCTTACAACTCTTATGCAAAAAAATGATTATGTGCAGTTCTTTTTCTTTTTGCATTAAATACTGTATCTGAAGAGTCATGGGACAGTGTATCATGTGATAGATTAAAAGTAAAAACAAAGCAAGTTTGTGAACTTAACTTGAAATTTTCATGGTGTTTCATATTTTTTAGGTATCTAATGTTTGAAAAGAAAAATATACCTCACTATAAGTTTGATTTGGCATATTGTTTGAATAAACTTCAAATGTTCAGAATACAAAGGACTTGGCTTTTTGAGGGAACTTTAAACTGTTTGGCTTTTTATGTATATAAAAATGTATGGGCATTGTTTTAAGACATTTAAAAATGTGAAATTTCAAAAGTCTTTGAAATAACATCAAGCAGAAACCTCTCTTGGCTGATAATCTTTCTGAAGCATTTCCACATTTGAGTTTCACATATATCTCTGTCAGAGAATTGTGTCTTTCTGTACAAATTAGTATAGTAATGAAAGAATCAAAAAACCTAGTTTTCTAATTCATTTATACCATATTCATGTAATGTACTTAAAGAAATGAACATACATTGTCAATATTTAGAGGCAAATTCCAAATACAGGGACATAAGTAATTTGTCCAGATAAATTCTGGTAAGCTGACATGGTTATTAATATGAAAACTCAACTGTGTCTTCTCTTTCTGCATTGTATTGTGAGTACTTCGTGGTTACTGGACGTATATGGTAGTCAGTGGGAACAGATGTTCCTTGGGCATTATTAGAGATGAATCCTCAACTGCTTGAGATTTGTTTTGGCAAAAGTGGAGCAGTAAAGAGTATTCATTTGTTTTGCCGCACCTGTCATTTAGCTTAGAAGAATTTGTAATTTCAGTGCTAAAGTTTTTTTTTTTTTCAACTATGAGACTGAATTGCATTAAAAACACAAACAAACAAATGAACAAAGACCCTTTATTTTTTCTAAAAGATACGAATAGGAATCAAATGTAACAGAATATAACTTTTTAAAGAAAATTTTTGAAGATTGTGTTTGAAGTTAGGTAACAAGCATTAGCCTTTTGTTTTTATGTTTGTACTTTTAAAATTCATGGTTTATAAGCTTAAATCTATTTCCACGCTGAATATTTAACATTTTTTCCAACTTTTTCACTGAATAAACTGGATATTTTAATAACAGCATATGTACAGAAAACTATATCTACTTTTTTATTTTGTTCAAATATTTTTAGAATTTATTCTGGGTCAAAAAATGATAGTCAAGCACTAGGCATCTATCTCGGAATGAGTCAAGAAGAACTCGGCTGTTTTCTCAATCTCTGTTCTTGCAATCAGTATCAGATACCCAAAACTGGGTGTGTACTAAACCTTTAATCTTACAACTCCAGGCAGGGAGACAGTATGGAATTTTACATGAAACTCTGGTTAGAAAAGCGTAACCCATTCTTGATGGTAGTTAATATTTAAATGCTGTTGATATCAGTGCCATTTTAGCCATCAGTCCTTCCTTCATGTGAAGGCAGCTTAGGAAGACAGGAACTGGAAACTCAAATATTTGCCTAACAAAACAATTTTAGTCCTAATAAGTAAAATCTTAAAAAATAACAATGGCTGTGTTTTACAAAAATTGTGATCAACCATGTGGTAAGAAAAGTAACAACATTATATTCTTATTTAAGAAAATACTAAAAAATTGAAACAAGTTTACAGATTTATTAATGTCATAAAAGTGTTCTGTGTTTTTACCATTTGAGCTCAAGTGTCTGGATGGCAAACTCAGGATGTTGCCTGAGCACTTTAAAGAACTTGAACTACATCCAAACTCAAAATTGTTTAGAAGCTATTGCAAAGCTTTTCAAGGTTTTTCTGTAATCACAGGCACTAATTTTTCTAAAATATAGTGAAGATGTGACCTTTAAAAGAAAGTTAAAAGTTAACATTTATTAAGAAAAGAGTATGTCTTAAAAATGAGGGCTTCAGGGTTGGGGATTCCTAGCAAGTGCAAGTTCAGTCCTCAGCTCTGAAAAAAAGAGAGAGAGAGAGAGCTCCAGGAACTTTAAAACTGTATAAAATTTGTTTTTTTTTTTTAATCAACACATTATTGTGTGTTTAAGTTAAAATAAGTTAACAAAACAACATGGTATTTCAGCAAAGTACAAACAAGAATTATATCAAAAACCTGAAACCCAAATGAAAAACTATAGCAAAACTAACTCTGAGCAAGTAGCTGTTCAGACTCTAAGCCCTACACCGTGGCATGGACATTGACGTTAACAAGGGTTTTATATAAAGCTTTTCAACAGCAAGGCATGTAGCAGCATGGCCTTTAGAGTATCTGGTACTCATCTGTGCTTCATTTCCTCAGAACACTGCTCACTGTTCATATCATTCCCCTCTTCAGACTTGCTACTATGTGATAATGAAGTTTGTATTTTCTAGTCTCTCCAGGTAGAAATGTTCATTTTTCTGTTTCTGTTTTATTTTACTCTTCTGAAAATTTGGTTTAGGGTTCTGATTTCAGATTTGAAGTTCTGAGTTCCTGCTGACTTATGATGGAAAGATGATTCTCTTACATTCTGGAAAGTTCTTGAGCTGCTCCTTTTATCATTCTTAATCAAAGATTGTCGACCTCAAGTTTTAGTCACCAAATTTTCTTGAAGAAGGAAACATGTAGAGTTCCAAGTACCTGCAGAAATGACAATCCAAGGGCACTCAGGGCGTGTCTCTAGCTCAGAATGTTTAGTAAAGATGTGTTGTGCTCCATTGCTGTGAGAAATTGGGTATTCACCATCAGATTATGTTTACTCTTGTTTATTGATGAGTTTCTAATGCCAAATTTTCCAGATAACATCCCTTATGTTTTTCCAGTATTACTTCATTAATAGTCCATTTCAGAGATTTTATAGTCCAGATTTTGAATTCTTGAGTTCTGATGACTGAAGCAGTATGATTTCTTATTAAATTCTAAATGTTCTTGACCTCTTGCTTGTTTCTTTTTTCATTTCTTAGATTTTTCGTTTCTATTGTTTTCTAAGACAAATTACAAGTTACTGTGTTAGATTATAGTAGGGTGTGTGTGTTTTCCTCCTGGCCCCAAGCTCCCAGAATAATGACTCATGAGGCTCAAAATACACTTATAAATACCTAGGCCGTATAGCTAGGCTCCTTGACTAGCTCATAACTTCAAATAATGCATTTCTACTAATCTTTATTCTGCCACATGGCTGGTTACCTCTGCTCAGGTACCATGTGTCTGTCCTTTTTAAATCTTCTCAGAAGAATCTCCCTGTACCTGGGTCTATTCTGGAATCCTTTCTGCCTATCAGCTGTCTCACCTTCTACCCTTTTTTATAGGCCATAGTTCTTTGTTGTTACTGTTTTGTTTTGTTTTTATTGGCAGGTGTTACATTTATATAATACACAAGGTATTACTGTCAACATTTCTTTTTTATCATACTGCTTTTTAAAAAAGTAACTTCCTTCATATTTTATTTAAAAAAAAATGAGAATTCTTTGTTGAGCTTGTTTTTTAAGACCAATCTCAAATTGATAAATTGCAATTTCTGCTCACATTTCCATGTTTTGTGACTCCAATTGTTTTGTTTTTTGTACCTCCTTTTACATTTCACTTTTTTATGTTTTATTTTTCTCTTAGTAATTTATAGTAACTTGTTATGTTCTGTCAACATATTATATGGATAACTGCATCCTGGATTTCCAATAGTCTTCCAAAATTGTAGTTCATTTGAAAAAGTGTCAGTTAACATCAAAATAGTTTCACAATTAAGCAACTCACAGTTCTCAGAATCTGATTGATATACTCAAGTGTAGATGTGATGGTCATCTACAACATGTACATGTTCTATAACTATATTCTTTCCATTATCTGTTTTCTTTTTTCTACCCATCATATTCCTCCTCAAGACCAGATTACTAAATACCAGTCTTTCCCTCTGGATTCTCCAGCAGTCTCTGAACTGTTGAGCTTCAGGACTCAGGGAAATCCTGAGTTGTCTGTAGCTGTACTCCACTATATATTTCTTTTTTTTTTTTAAAGATTTATTTATTATTTATACAACATTCTACCTGTACACCATATCTTTCTGTAGATGGTTATGAGGCACCATGTGGTTGCTGGGAATTGAACTCAGGACCTTTGGGAAAACAGCTAGTGTTCTTAACCTGTGAGCCATCACTCCAGCCCCACTATATATTTCTTGCACATGTTCTGCTGTTCTCATTTTTGTTATGCCACCGTATTTTATGAAAATATTTTCTTTCGGGTGCATTTATTCAATTTCCTAATGAACTTACAAACAACAACAATAAATTGGACCTGAAAAATTTTTAGTACTTCTTTAATATTTAAAATACAATCAGACTGTTTCCATAATATTGACATCCCACGTGTTCTAAGAATTGCTGACTTATTATCATTGCTGGCTCAGTTTTACTGGTTAACATTAAGTTTTAAAAATATGTAAGACTTTGTTTTTTCAACTTCAGCATCTTCAAAGTGGCCCCATCATCTAGTGATAGGGAAAAGCTAGAATTTCTGGCATGAATATGTTTTTGAAACATGTAATGGGTTCCTCTAAAGCATGAAAAATAAATGGTTTTTATATTGGCCTAGTAGGTTGTCATTTGAGCAGTCTGTTAATTTCTGTATTTGGTAGTTGCAAGATAAAGGCCAAGCAAAAGAATGGAGGGCAATATCTAAATTCATTTTT